TTCCTTCAGTTTCTGTTTTGTGTATGTGTTGGTGGTTCAGTCATGTGGTATCTCTTTTAACATTTTATATTGTCGTAAAAGCACTCCTTTATTCTATGAGTTGTTTAAGTACCATCACTTTATTCTGGCAAGTATTCGTGCATTTCTTTGCCATGTATTCTGTATATGAAATGTTCAAATGGGTTATTTCTACAAATGTTTATTCCTATTGATGTTTTACTGACCAATCTGGGGAAATGCTTGTTTGTGGACTGGCTGTTCTACAATGATTGGTGTTACACAAAGAGTGATTCGAAGCATATGTGGGGGTCTATGGTTCTTTCTTTAATTACATGCTGACTTCTGAAGTTGTACCACCTATGTTCCCTTTTTTTTCCGTGTAGGTTCTTTTTCTCTTTTTTCTTTTTTTGGGGGGAGGGGGGGGGGGGGATTGAATATAACCTGAGATTTGGGTTATAGGATGCATAAGGGAAAAGCTTTTAAATCCTTTTTGTCTGTTGCTTCACACACAGGATAAGATTGGGCAAAAAACCGTCTTTCTTGGCCTGTCCAATCATATTTGATGAAAAATCATAGCCGAAGTGATTCTATCTGGATTTGAATGTAGTGAAGTTGTGCACATCATGATCCTCCAGACAGTGGAGATTTTGTTTATCTGCTTGCTATGAAGAACAAATATCGAATCTGGAGTTATATATTATAGCTTTTTTAAGTTATGCAATAGAAGGGGGGGCTTGCGCTTGAATTGAAGTAGCGCCTTTGGAATATGAGTAGGGCTCCTAAGTGGCGCGTTCGTGGAGGCAAACCGAAGGAAGAGCAAAAGGAAGGTTGGGTGCTTGTGGGGCGAGGAAAAACCTCGAATAGGAGGGGGCAACGCTCTGGATCCTCCCTGCTTGCAGAAATGAATGGATCAGAAAGGGGCTTGGTTCTCTATTTCCGGGCGGGGGGTGAAGGCCATAAGAGAAGATTGCCCTACCGGTAAGGAAGAGGGGAAAAAGGTGCTGTCATCTATCTCGACCAGTTTCCCGAGGCGTTGGAAATCCAGACCGGCTCAGAGAATCACTCTCGCTATTTAGCCCTTCGTTCCGCCAACAAAGAAGTCATCCTTGACGATTTCCCATTCCTTCCCTGCCGAGCCGCCTCTCTTCGCCATTCGATGCTTCCGCCTTCCCTTTCTATAACATACCCAGGCGCCCTCCTTTCCAATCACTAAGAAAAAAAAAATCCCAATCAAAGCCCTATCTAAGTAAAGCTTCGTCTGTTATTTTTCCGGCCCCAGGGGAGTTTATTCGACCCATTCCCCAGTCNGGAAGATAGGACGTGGACATGTGCAGTCTCCTGGAACACTCTACTCTAAATGAATATCTCTTCTGCCTCCCATTAAAAAAATGGACTATATCTGTTTCTGGGCACCAAATAGAAACCAAAAAGGCCAACCCAATTGTTTAAGAAGACTATGGGGCTGCTACATAATACTGGAATGAAGACGTAAGCCCTGGAGACAGTCCTATTAACAGCTATGATGTAGACTCTTGAAGAATTGAAAGAACTCGTAGAGGGACAGAAGAACCTGGTAGGAGGAGGAGGAGAACATACAGAGGAAGCAGAGGGGGGAGATCCTGATTTGAGATAAGCTGCTATGATTTTAAAGCTATGGTGGTTTGGAGCTGCTATTCAGTTACCTTTATTCCTATGTTCCTTCTCTTGTTTCTTCCTTCTCTATTGCATACTGCTTCTTTGGATGTTTAAACTATTTTGGGTGACGTCCTATTTATATTTGATGCTGCTTGAATTCTTTATATGAGAATGTGTGTTGGCGTTTCTTGCAAAAGCTTTTAGTACTTCTTGCCATGTTCTTCTTTAAGCTGTATGGAATTATGTGCATCAAATATAACACATCCAACTTTTGTCCTGTCTCCCTCAATTTACAAACTGTCTTTTTGTGCTCGTGGGTCTTTTCACTATGATGCTCATGTCGTTTTTCCTGCAACTTAGTCTGTGAGCCTAATGGGGCAGTTGACATTTATTTTGCAGATACATGCAAAGGTTTGATCCTGGGTTTGGATTTACTGGTGGCCCATATACAATTCAGCCCATGTACGCTCCTGCAATAAACTACAACACTGAGTTTCCCCAGCTTGGTGCAGCACTTCGGTCTCCCATTTCTGCTGAAAACCAACCTCGTCCACTTCCTCAACATTTACCTGGGCCTTGGGCAACATCAGTGACTCCTGGCATTGGTTATGGTCCGGCAGAGAGCATGATGCCTCCCCTTTTTAGTCAAAATCATGTTAGTGCACGCTCAAGCGCAGCTATATATTTGCATTCAACGCAGTATCCTTGTCAGCGTCCTGGAATGACTTTTATCCATCCTCACGAGCAGGTTCACCAACCCTTCTCACAGGTATGGCAAAAAAAATTTCTTTCCATTTCAATCATTTGTGCTTGTTATTTGCTGAACTCCGGGGACTTGGACAGATTTAAAGAGGAAATTGCACCAATTCATACTTCATCTGGTGAAAAACTGTCTCATAAGTCGTGTTTCGACCTAACATGTTCACACTACCCCTCACACAGAGTGCAAGAGATGATAATAGGTTAAGCTTGAAGCAAAGTTTAGTAAGTTTGGGGAAAGATTTCTGGTAAAGAGCATGCTGGGATCTTCATATTTAAGTGCTTGGTTAATATGTTCGAAGGATTTAGTGATGCAGACACAAAAAGTGGATCCAATGATATCTACACTTACCTTGCTGTAGGATGCTTGTTGTATCTTGTTAAGCTATATTATCTTATATTGGTATGTGTATGAGGAAGAAGAATTTTAGCTTGTAGAGAGGGTCTCTTTCTTTCACATGAGATAATATAATTATCCATCAGTCGTGTTTGGCATTCTGGTTTATTTTTTTCCCCACTTTATGGTTTGCTTCATCATTTGATTGCTCCTCCTGTTCATGGTATTCCAGCCTCATCAACTGCAACCTGATGGTTTTGGATTAGCCCGGCCCCGGTGAGGGGCACGGGCCATGCCTGCATCCTGCGACGTACAATTCAGCATCTTGAGGGGGATGCTGAGTGGCAAAATGTTGCAAATCGCGGGGTGCAGGCATGAACAACTGAGACCTGTTGGAGTAGATTGTTCAGCTTGCAATATTTTCCGAATCCATCCACCAGTCTCAGTTTTATGGAGCCTCCTGCATTGCTGAGGATGCTCATATGTCCTGGCAGTTCCATTGCATGGATGGGCACTCAGCTCTATTGCCATGGAATCATGACAACGATGATGACGACGACAAATGAAATCAGCAAGAGTTCAGAGCTGGCAATATAAGAAGTTTTATCGGTTTTAGGTTTATTCTCGTTTTCCATTTGTTTGCCTTTCTTTAAGTTGCCTAATACATCTGTAAGTATATGTAACATTGTGCTGCTTGATTTATGTCACAGCCTCATCAAAGCTCCAAGAAGAAAGACAATACGGTTAGAGATTTTGAGTAAATAGTGTCAACAGGACATGCAACCTTTAAGCAATTGGTAGCTTTGGTGCCAGACTGACTGATAATACAGAGCTCTGAATACGGGATATTCCTCTGAAGCAATGTCCAGGAGTGACTCTGCAGATAATGTATTTAAATGGAAAGTGTTTCCCCTTTTACCGCTTTTCTTGTTTGGACAGAATATTCGTTTACTTTGTCTTTTGCTGACTAGTTTGTAACTGAAGCATTTTGTTTGGTCAGAACTCCTTCGTCGCTCTTCACCAAAATGATAATGATCACTATGCCAGTATTCCCCTGTGGTTGATATATCCTAATTCTCTGTAGAGAAATGGGGTGCGGCCAAGTGTGCTAGTGGTTGCATCAAATCGTTCCAGTAACCAGGGCTAATAGTTAGAGGCTGGGTGTAACAGGACATCTAGTATGCTATCTCTATTCAGTGTCATAAGCGGTTCAAAGAAAAAAGTGACTCATGCCCCCCAACAACGGCATTACTTTTATATTCTGAATGAATTCATAGTGGCAAAGAAACTCAACAAATATGGTCTATTTTCTCGACTTTGTCCCATCATCAGCCAGGACTCTGCGTAATCGAAATGCATTCAATTAGCACCGGGGGTGTGAGAGGGATGAACAATTAGTTATTAGTAGGACGCAAATGCCTACGAGTACAAGTGGATTTTCTGTAGCCAAATGGAATGTCTGGGAAATGAGGTAAATCTTTTGTGAAATAGACAACTAAATATAGTTAAAAGGAAAATCATCTTGGAAACAAAAAAGAAAGTGAAAACTCTTAAATAGATGGATCTAGTAATAGAAGATTTGTGGATAGATGAGTGTTTATATGGTGCAATTGCGTTAAAAATATATTTTTCTACTCACAACCATTTCTTCGGGCGAAAGACGTGTTCCTGATTACTTTATTATCTCATTTGCAAAAGAAAAACGAAACACTTCACTAGTAACGCACAATTGGAAAGCTATCCTAAACATTGGTACATTTGCCTAGCTTGTTTCCCTTTTTGAGGAGTATTTGTTTTATTCTCTTTTCTTTTTATCTTTATCAAATCAAGAAACTCATTTTAAGTTTCCTATAGAACAGTAACAGACCGGAAAACCTTCACAACTTCTTTTGTTGTGCTTTTAGTATGATATTTCATATCGTTAAAGAGGTATTGGGTTAAATACAGATATATGAGTACCAAATCTACCACTTCCTTTTATCCTATTCCAGCACTCTCAAATTCAAATACCTTCCGAGTTCAAGTTATGCTAATTGGCGTGCATATTTTTATATTATCAGGTTAAATTGACCTACAAGAATTGGAAACTTTTATATCAAACCTGATGTATAATAACCTAAAAAAAAGAAGAAGATTAACATGTTATAGCCAGTTAAATCGAACAGATTGTGTAAATATTCTTTATAGACGCCCATAAATACTAGGGGTGGTGGGTTTTTTTGCATATGAAAGTCAAAACTTACAGCATCATATGGTTGTGTGAACAATATTGGAGTTTCTCACATGAATATTGAAATCACAGGTTAGCCTCAGCTGTCTCCCGTGCTCGAGCCTTGCGCAAGCATGTTTGTGTCTGCACCACAAGAGGCAACTTTTTCCACCCTGAGAATGTCTCTTTCTTGGCTTTATTCTTTAACAACCTTATTATTACAAAGCAAAAACCACGTGCAATAGTATTTCCCTCTAAGATTAGCCTAACTCTTTCTCACTTTTTAAAGCAAAATCTAGCGTCTTATTCGGAAGAGGAAATAATAGGAAACCTTTCTCTTTCCCTAACTTGATGGTTAAAGTGCACTTTGACCTGTGTTTTATATGAGGATAAAGAGAAGTTTGTGGGCTTTGCTGATATGGTAATGAATACTTCTTTACAGTGAACTGTGCTATTCTCGTGTGTTTGTTGGCATGTTTATCAATTAGTATGTACGAAGTTTACGTGCATATGACTATATAAACATATCTATTGTCTCAAACACTGCCCAGCAAAATTGATCTTACTCTTAAGGTACTGACCCTTCAAGTTCATACTAAAACTCAGCACTTTCCTTTTTTTTTCTTTCCAATTTTCTGTTTCTACTTGCTTAACTCAAAACTCAAAGTCTACCAACTGCTTGCGTCCTTGTATTTTTTTTTTGTTCTAAGAATTGGTGCCGTCACTGAAGTATCGTGAAACAAAAATGGACCAATTATTACATTCAGTCCTGTCATTGGGAGTTGCTTTGTTTATTAGATCCTTGATTAATGACTTGAGCTCCCGTCTGGCCATAGATTTTGACTTCATTTTTTCAAATTTTTTTTTGAAAACATTGTTTGTTTATGAAATATGATCATGTTTTGGAAAAAGAAAAAAACTTCAAAAAATTTCAAGTTCCAAAAAACTGGTTTAGGGCAGTTTTTGGGTGAAATTTTTTCTTCCACTCACAAAACTTCAACTTTTCTTCAAATAAAATGCATGACCAAACACAACTTTAACTTTCAAATATTATTTTTCAACCCAACTTCAAAAACTCTTTTTTCAAGTTTCAATCAAATCTATGTCCAAACGCTAGCTTAGCTTCTTGAGGCAAGGGTCTATCGGAAACAGCATCTCTACCTTAACAAGGTAGGGGTAAGGTCTGCATACACATTACTAATGGCTTAAAGAAAAAAAAAAAAAAAACTAACCACATCTGTTAACCCAAAGCCCAGATATATCATTTTATATTCATTACAAAATTTGTCTTCATATATATGCAATGCTTACTGTACATGGAAGATAGTTTTCTATATTATCTGCTCTGCCTTGTGTTTTCTGTATCGAGGTATACTGATTTTGCTTCACTTTTTTCATGATGTCCTTCAGGGCAAAGCAAGCAATTAACAGCTATGGATAGAGAGAATTCAGAGCTGTACCTGCGTAACTATCAGATTATGTGGGAGAATGAGAGGCTGCGGAAGAAAGCTCAACGTCTCAACCAGGAGAATCAAGCTTTGTTATCAGAGCTGAAACGGAAATTAGCAGCTATAAATGCCAAGCGGAAACCTGAATTTGAAGTTAATATGGGTTCCAGTTCTGTCAGCGATCAAATGGAAGCCAACAAACGTCAGGTACTGGAATGAAAGTGATGTTCCAAGTCACTTCCTCCAGGTGTTTGTGAAGATCAAAATCATGAGAATTTTCAATTTGGGTTTTACCAACATTATAGCAATTACAAGGCTACGTGCCAACTAAAACTATTTATTTTTGCATTCGCACCAAAATAATGTACCTTTTTAGCAATCAAATAGTGTTTGCCTAAAAGCTCTACTACCAACTGCACCCCAACAGAAAAATAAGGAAAAGGATTATGCTATAAGGGGTTGTGAACTAAAAACCTAGGTTTCTACTTCACCAATTATCAATCCACAATCAACTTCCTGTCTATGCTCGAGAATGTCTGGTAAAATGCCTTGAAGTGCTTGTATGCAATATCAATATCTTCCTTTCCGCATATCTCTCTCACGCTGCAATCGCAGAAAAGCAAAGTGATATTTATCGAATTAGATGACCAACTTAAGGAAGCAGGTGACAAAAGCAAAACTGGCAAACTAGAATGAGGAAGAAGATATAAATGAACAGATTCAAATACTGTAGTGTCCCTCAAGTTAGATGCGACCATTTCATCATGTCAAACTACCAGAGCTGATTACAGCTTCAAACTTCATAAGTTTATCATCTAGCTGCCCGGCAGTATCTTATACCATAGAGAAATTTTTATTTTGAAAAAGTACAGAAAAACATTCTTAATGGCAAGTTAGCCAAGGTGCCTGGATGTTGAATATCTATCCTTCTAGGAAACTCGAAAAAGTAGTGCATATCACAACTTATCACTACTTGCACTGTAGGACAAGCATTGCAGCTTGATAATATAGATCATTCTGCCGAATATGGGCTCAAGCAAAATTTTATGTCAGATGATGCATGACAATAAAGTAAGCTAGTTATAGACTGCTGCCTCTATCCCATCTTGGGTAAAACAATTTTACTGGAACTAAGAGTAAGGAAATTTTTTTTTTGCTTTAAGAAGTGTGTTAATAGTATTGTGATTGGAACTAAGTAAAGCAATATTTTTTTTTTGGCTTTCAGAAGTTTGTTAGTATTATGTTCTGACTAGTGGAAAGTTGGAAATTACTGACTGGTGTATAACCAATTCCAAAAAAAGTGGAAGAGAATTCTAGGAGATCACCATGTCGCACAACATTGAATGGAATAGTACATAACTAGGTACCTGTGCATGGATAGCTGAGCAATACCACAATCAACAGTTCGGATTCCAACTCCTGAAGCAAGTATCGGACCTATAGTTGATCCACATCCCATATCATTTCGCACCACAAAGTCCTGTAAGGAGTTAAAGGACTAGTTATCATTTGCTGCAGTAACACAAAGGATTTGAATCCTTAATAGAAGTTATGTATTGACTCCTGAATAAGAGAAAGATGGGGAGTCAAGGAATAGGTCAAGTCATGGCTTCCGTTCCCTCTTCCTATTTCTTTGATGGTTTTCACTTCATTTATGCTAAAGCACTTGGAAGATGAAAATCACCTGTGTCGGAAGGCTGTGGAGTCTTGCAACTTCTTTAAAAAGAAAAGACGTAACTCCACTCGTAGCATAGCGCTGATTTGCATTATGCTTGATTACAAGCCCCTTCTGTAATTCAGGACGATGGTGCTCCTCATGCTTATCCACAAAATTAGGGTGAACTCCATGAGCCATATCAGCAGACACTGTTATTTGAATGGGATACTAGACAATAAGTTTCACATGAGATGCAGAGGAGAAAATAATGTGATTTGACAAGAATGCTGGAAACTGATTTTTCATTCCGTATGTTATGACATCACAAGTTATTTGCATGTTAGGCCCCATAAATTCTGGTAGAACTATCGACAAGGAGAATGATGTCCTCCTTGGCTGGTTCGTATCACACTGCAATCACATAAACTGGTTTGTATCGACAAGGAACTCTTTAGGCCTTCTAGTAACATGAACCGGGAGAAACTCCATCCTTAGGCAAAGGCTGTTAGATTTCTCAATCAAATAATTAATGAAATGCACTCGTCAGGGGAAAGCCTCGGTACGGACACTTAGTCAGTCCATAGAGCATATAGTGTATACAAGTTATGATAAACTCAAATAATGAATGTATTAGTTTTTCTTCGAAGGCAGTTACTAATACACCTTTGCATGTATTCAGATTGATATGTTCAGCAAATGAAACTGAAGAGGCCTAAACTTAACAGGGCCCAATATTGAATTTACTGCCTTTTGAAAGAATCACGCATAGTAACAACCTTTCACATTATATTGTCTTATTTTGAGCTAGGATCAATTGCATTACTGCTGAACAAGACAAGGAGTATCCACATACGAAAGGTTTGAAAGTACAAACAGGAGTAGCCAGTCATATACAAACACTTATCTAAAGGCCACAGACATATCAAAAAAAGAGTACCAAGAAAAGAGTGGCGAATCGCGCGGGCAAAATCAGATTCTCCAGCAGACTGATGACTTAGGCAGTCAGTAATTCGTCGCATTGCCTCAAACATAGTTGGCGCACCAGCTCCTTGGTATGAATCTGAACCAACCTAAAGTCTTGGTGGAGTTAGACCTCATGCTTAAGTACATGGGAAACTGAAACAAGGAATATCAGTTCATTCAAAGTTCAATTTCAAGCTGAACTCGACTGATTAAATAAGGAAATTTCGAAACAAGTAAGAGACTGACAAACTTACTGGTTTTCATTTTCTTGTTTTTGGTGGAAAAATGTAAAAACAGCTTAGAAAGAGGATACAGAATAGTTGAAAACAGCTTGTAAAGAGGATTCAGAGTACTGCTAGCCGATCTTTATTGCTTTTGTGCTCACTTGGAACATTTGACACACATGAAAAAATCTATTTACATCAAACACGTATTTTCAAGAGTCTGGGATAAGCAAAATACTTCTTAGCTTGGAATATTCTAAAATTTAGAAATTAAACAAGGACTGATCTGATGTTCCCCAGAATATACTTCTCATCTAAGAGTAGCATCTGTAGAATGCAGAAGAAAATAATTTAGGGAAATCACTGCTAGAACTTTCAGACTGAGCAATACTACGTACCTCTTCATTATCAAAAAGAGCAATCATCCGAATTGCATGCTCATTTGATAAATCTTCGGGCAAAGTACATGAATCAACCAGAGCTCTCAAACCACAAAAGCTCGACGCAAGATTATCCAATCTTCCAGAAAATATGAACTCATTATTTGCACCTCCAAGGCAGCTAGGTTGGGTATCACAAAGATTTAACTCAACACTAACTATGTCATCAATTTTACAGCTGAGCTCATCTGACAAGATCTGCAATCACAGAGGAAAATATCAATGTTCATATCCAGTAATCCATAATGTACTCCTTATCCATCATTCCCTTGCGTTAAATAATGTAACAAATTCTCGATGATGGAAAATAAGATGGAAGAACAGAAAAGCAGTACACTCATTATATAAATGAGGTGTGTAACAAATTTCATGGCTTTCAGTGCTGCTACCACCAAAGCAAGCAAACTAATATAAACAAGGAACCTTCAATCTCTGACATTCAGCTACCTATCTTGATCATTTGTTCGATACATTATTTTAATATTCTGAGCCGAGAGTCTCCTGGAAACAGCCTCTCTGCCCTTTTCGGGGTAGGGGTAAGGTCTGCGTACACTCTACTCTCCCCAGACCCCACTAGTGGGATTTTACTGGGTATGTTGTTGTTTGTTGTTGTATTATTTTAATATTCTGAGCCGAGAGTCTCCTGGAAACAGCCTCTCTGCCCTTTTCGGGGTAGGGGTAAGGTCTGCGTACACTCTACTCTCCCCAGACCCCACTAGTGGGATTTTACTGGGTATGTTGTTGTTTGTTGTTGTATTATTTTAATATTCTCAACACAGTGTCTCTTACATGATGTCCAATATACTACAGTTTTTCAAAACACTTCTTGATTAGAAGCAACATAGAAAGAGAGGGTTAAAGAATTCGCAGTCTTTGACCAGGGAATGAAATAATGAGGAACCCATCTGTCAGTCTACAAACTATAGTTAATAAAAAGATCAGATAAGTCCAGGAAAAAATTCAGGAACGGAGTTTCCCTTTTTGGTTGTCAGTCAAAATCTTTCTTTGATTGACCACCGCAACCTAGAAAATTTCCAGGATTATAGGTCAGATTTAGTGAACATAATATAAACAATAACCTGCAGAAGGAGTTGATGATGAACATCTTTTGAAGAAGACACATTATTTTTCTCTGTGGAATCAGCAGTTGCATTCTCTGTCTTTGTTGCCAGTAGCGGAATAAGTTGAGTCTCAAGGTTTGGCTTAAAACCATCCTGATTCACAGTTCTACATGCCAGGAAAGTTGAACAGGGCCAAGGAGATATCAGCAAAGCCTTCAAGCAAACAAAAACTACAGAAAAATGCTTGATTTCCATTTATCTTGTGAAAGAAATAAAAGATCATGGACAACTGTCTCATTTCAAAAAATAAAAAAAAATCATTGACAACTGTCACTGATAATTGACCAATCTGACAAAACATAAATCAAAAGAGCTCCTCCATCAAGGTTACCCTTTAATCTTTATATTTAGTTATTGATGTTTGTCAATCGAAAGAAGAGAGGCTAACCTTAAAAAGGAAGCTATGTTTAACAATATTCCAGTACTTCAGAAAAAAACCAACTTATGCACAGTACAAATGTGATGCTACTGAAACAAGATTCCTTTTCAACTAATAACATCTGATGAACAAGAGGGCTGAAATGAGTTAAAGGATAAAAATCTTTTTTCTTTCTATTATGAGTTTACTAGTGTGAGAAAGACAAAATTCGGAAGCTAGCTTAAACATTGCAATAACTGGGACCAAAAACTAGACATTTTGGAGAATTTTAGTCAAGTTTCAGACTTCCAAACTTTCAACAACAACAACAACAACAATAACCCAGTATAATCCCACTTAGTGGGGTCTGGGGAGGGTAGTGTGTACGTACAATCCTTACCCCTACCCTGGGGTAGAGAGGCTGTTTCCAAATAGACCCCCGACATTCTTCCCTCCAAGAACTTCCCACCTTGCTCTTG